TAATAATGCCATCAGTTAAGGCATTATACTTTTATCAAAGAAATGCGTCAAAAGAAAAATAACAATTAAAATGTTCTCTAAAAATCAAAAAAAGCTGCTAGACTATTTCACATGTACTTAACAGTTTAAAAAATGAGTCACAATTACTTTATTGCTTTTCATAAGCAAAATGCTTTCTGCTAAGCATTAAAAGCATGGTCAATATTTTTGCCCTTTGAACAAAACTCATTGCCAGTGGTAAATTGCCATGTGAGCCAACACTGCTCTGTTTACAATTTTTATTGCAAGAAAGGAATATGAGATGGTGCAGTAACTACAAAAAAAAAAAAAAAATCAAAGCAAGTCCACAGGAGACGATTGCTCTGGACACAACAGAAATGTGAAAAACAGTGTGTGTAGGAATGAAACACTGGTTCCTGTAATACCCAGCTTCACAGACCACTAATAACTAATAACTAATGGAACTCCTGGCTGCCATTTGACCAGTAATGTAGGCACTGCAGATGAACATTACTCTGATTAGTTTTTATTTCCATTAAGGATGTGAGATATCAAGGAAAACATAAAATGATAAATGGGCAAAAGAGAGGAACACAGATGACTAGAACAGATCGTCAGTATACACTATAAATAAGCTGAAAGTTACAACAAAATAGTTTGTGGATGCTACAAGCAGAAAATAAGTTGTATCCATACATATTGAGCCATTATTGCTAGCTGGTAATTTGCATGAAGAGTTAAGGGCTAGAAGAGGAATTAAATGTATTTCAAATGCAACTTTTTCTATGAAAGAAGGTTATGGAAAGACTTACAGTGCCTATATTACTGGTCAAATTTTCCTCTAAGCTACACAGGAATGGAGCAAGTTGACAGAAATAAAGTTTTTTTTTTTTTTTTTTCAAATACTTTCCCACTATGTCAATTTATAGAAAACTCAGGTATAACTTTGGGGAAGGAATAGGAAACAGATTTGCAGAGAGCCATTTTCCAGAAAAAGGGCAAGGAAGGTGATACTTCTGACATTTGATCTTGAATTTCTGTAAACTTTTCAGAAGAAATATTAGTCACCATTGAAGGCACAAGAAAAAGGTGACCAGAATCAAATAGTTTTTCCTATGATACACCAAAACCAGATAAAGGCCTGACTGTAAAAAAGTGAGTGAGACACTCATAGAATTCTAACCCTCTAGGTCTGAAAGTAGGCCAATCAGAAAAAAATACAAGTCTTCCCCAAAAGGTGCAAGGACTAAGTTACTCTTAGTGCCTTTCAATTTTTAGATTTCAAAATAAGATGTAGTGGAACTTCAGTGGATAGCAGAAATCTAGCCACACAGCTCACTGAAAGCCTGATCCACTTGGCTCTCTACCTTTTTCCAAACCCAGGAAAAACACCTTGCACAAAGAAGGATTAAATCTGCTCTGTGTCTGTGAACTGTCAGGAAATAAAGGGCCATGTGTGCTGGGATACAAATTCTGGCAGTACAGCCCAAAGACCTAAATGCTGCTCTATACTGACAGAAAACACAGATTTTCATATCGCAATGACTGTGCCCACACTAACCTGACATAATCTTGTCTTAACCTTCTGGACACACTTTAAAAAAAAATTAATTGGACAAAAGATGTTCAACAGGTAATTCACTCAAAAATGGGGAATAAAGGACTCAGGACCAGACAAGTTCTGGAAGGGCAAATTTCTATTTCTGTTAGTGTCTAATGCAAAACAATCTAGTCACACAGCTCACTGAATGACCATGGATTTGAAATTCTCCATTTTATAATGCCCCCTCAGATTTCCCTTCTACAGGAGTCTGGCATATGAATTACCAAACAACTGACAAAAAAGGGAAGTGAAATCCATAAAGAATCAAATTGCTTTCTAATTTATCATTAGAGGCACAAATATCTGAAGTCTTGGAACTGAAAAGAATTTCAGGTAAACAAAGCTGTACTGGTAGTGTTTCTGGTCTGGTTTCATAAGCCAGGAAAATCTCTTTATGGAAATAAGTGTGCTCAAAATCAGGAGACATGAAATAATACCCTTGCCAAAGTGAAGGTATCATTACCACCAATGTTATCATCCTGAAATCCTATTAGCAATTAAAGATCTTCAGCTTCTTAAAGAGATGTCATTATCCTCCACTATAAGGACTAACTCCTTAGAAATCTGGACCCTCCACTCCAAAAGGAAAGGTTCTGTAAATGATGAAGGTGAATGAAGGTCTCCCTCTCAATAAAGCTCATTCTCGTGGCAAGAGCTTTTGAAAAGAGGTGGGGAAGAAGGTTTGATGAATAGGCTAGGAAGAGTGATTACTGTAACCAAGGTGTTCAATAAGGCAGGATAATGTGGATTCAGATGAAATGTCAACAGCCTGAATCCAAAGATAAAGGGGACAAAAGAAATAGGAGGAAGGATTCATGGGTTTTACCACTCCTGGAGAAGTACTGGCACGACTACTGTAAGGAATGAAGAAATGTGTGCAAGGATGTTTTGAGGATAACTAGTCGAATTATTCAGGAAGAGAAGCCAAAGTTGTAGCATTTCAGATCTGTAATTTGGCTCCTGTCAAAATGCTAATGTGAAGCTTCCTGATTATTATGTCAGTGTGTGCAAAGAGTTTCTAAGAGACTGAAATACTTGGCCACTATTAGCTCAGGTCCAGCCTCCCTCCAGTGGACTGTTTTCAGCTGTGGCTTGCAGTTCATGGGCTGTTCAGAGTTGTATGGCCAAAACAGTCTTCTTCAGAAAATAAACCACAACATGCTGCATTACCTAGTCTCTTGCAACTTGAAAGAAAAAAAATTACCAAAAAAGGGACTTTATTTGACTTAATCTTCCAAGCATGAAATCCATCAACTATCAGATATTGGACTTCACAGAGCAGAGCCTGGTAATCTGCTATTCTTATTTCAATGGGGGGGGGAGAATTTTTTTTTCCCCCTCTACAACCAAATGTTTAAAAGCCTTGCCAAAAGAAGCAGAGTGAGACTGTTTAAAAAGAACCACAGCAACAAAAATAGGAGTGAGTGGAGGGTGAGTAAAAAGGAAAATCCAAACCACCTGCTGATTCTTGGTAGCATCTGTCACTGTACAAGAAGTGGGAGAACATGAAGGTAATGCTTGCCAAAGCACTTCAGCTGGAAGCAGCATGGCATCATTCACTGATCTGGTTGTATCAGCTAGCACAGACCCTATGAATATCAATCACAAACTGAACAAAATTTTGGGAAACCTTCACAGAAATCTGTAGAGTACTCAACTGTCCTTTGCAGCAATGTTTTAAGGTTTTGTAGGAGTTGATACAAATGGTCTTCCTGAAATGAAAAGCAGAAGCAGCTCTTATTCATGTCACTAAGATGTTCAAGAACAAAAGGTCACCTGCACATTTGCCCCTCATGTAGGTAGGGAATATGGCAGCGTGCTGAGGTGACATCTTTGGGGGGAAGATGAGGGGGTGTTGTGGAGGCAAAAGTTCTGTCTTATCATAAGATAAGCCTGCTTACTGGGGAATGACATGATGGAATGATGGAGACGTGATCAGAGATGGTGCATTTCCTCTAACTGCATTTCTCAGGTAAGAGACTAAATACAAAAGATAAATCCTTCCTAGCAGAGGGTGGATATTGAGCAAGAGGTAATAATCCCATAAACCAAGGGTGTTTTCAAGGTTACTGAAAAGCTCCTCAGTCACGTCTTTTGGTCTCGATGAGTAAAAATTTATGGCTGATTCACCCCTTTTAAAGGGATATAAGTGATTGGATACCAGCATGGATACAGACCAGAAATACCAGTCATTGCTTCCTACAACCTGTATAGAGACAAGGGACAAAAGAAATAACAGTAGAGACAGAAACTGTAATGGAGCTCCAGCCTCAAACGGGGGGAATCAGTGAGTTGGTGCAGACCCTAAAATATCACAATGGTCATAATGAAATCTGGCGTCAAAGGAATTGGGGGAAAAAAGCTCAGAACATTGTGTTTATTTTGTGATGCTGCAGACATGCTCCATTTTTCCTTCAGCTATTGCAAATGTTCCCTCCTTACTGCCAGAACAGGCAGCACAATCAAAAAACATGTATCTCAAGCACCTCTCTGTGTATGAAGAATCAAAGCATCAGGCAGGATATCTAAAGCTTTTCTCTTTGTTATGAATAGATCTAGAGAGAGACACAGACTTCTCCTTGGATGATAGTGGAAATTTGGTTTTTTGAACCTGGGACTTGGGAAAAGGATCAAAGACAAATGTTTAATATTTTCTTGGGAGCAACTTTCTCAAGCTGTACTTGAAGTCTCAATACACAGAACACTCAGAGGGAATAAAAACTTCGCCCAGACACGACAGGAAGTGGATACTTTCATCTCAGAGAGCATAAAGCCAAAACTTTTGTTCTGAATTCTGAAGTATGGAACCTACATTGTCCCAGCAAAATCAAAACTGGAGCTTATAAGAACAAAAGGATGTTTAAATAACTTGAAAACATTTTTAAAATAACAGATTATCAAATAGAGTAGAGTATGAAGTGAAGTAGAAGGTTGATATGAATCTTCAATAAAAAGCAGTTAAACATAAAGAACTATGGTGCAGACACAGGTAGAACTGAATGCTAGGTAACAGGCTGTACTCCATTGCTTATAAAATGCCCACAAGTCAGCAAATAAGTTTTGCACAGCTCTACACTCAAAATATGCAGAAAAGCACTTGATGGTGAATACAGATGCTAATGTGCAAACACGGAACTCAGTAATTCACTTCTAATTTATGCCTTTTGATTTCTTCAAAACTTAATCCCACACCAGTCACCTACAATTCTTAAAGAGGCAGACAGCAGAACTTCAGGGGTAATAATTTTAATATACACACATACACAGGGATATTACTATGCAATTATATATTATTCAAACATGTATCTATAAAGGACCACATTCAGCTTAATATTTCTGAGCAAGAAGTCTCCTCTTCAAAGTGCTACCATAATTTCCAAAAACTGTATTCTCATACCTTTGCATAAGCTGTTGTCTTGATAAACCACTGTTTGAGGTATTTCTGCTCCACTTTTGCCCCTGAACGCCAAGAGCAACCATTGTCATCCACCTGCTCATTAGCTAGAACAGTCTGATCCACTGGATCCCAGTTAACCAAGGCCTAAAAAAAAGTTGCAGGAAGAAGAAACACTTTCAGCAGCTAGTTCAAAACCAGTTTTCCTTTACAGATGTCAAATGAATTATACAGAGGCACACCTTGAAAGTTTGCCTGAGTCTTCTATATTTTTAAAACATCAATTTGAATCAGCAGCATGGACTCAGCTGGAAAAGTTTTTAACATTCATCTTCTCAGAATTCAAAAGACCCAAAAATGCAGTTGGCAAGATTTGTCTAGACTGATCATGCTAGCAGGATAGGCTGGTACTTGACTGCTTGGCTGTAATATATACTAAGTGTTCCAACTTGACTACACTTCAAATAAAATAGTCTGATGCTTAAAAGTTCTTCACTACTAATCCAAAAATGTTGAGTCAGACTGAGGGGGATGAGTAGACAAGGATGTCCAACTCAAAAGGACAGAATCTCAAGGAAATATTACAGTGGTCAACTATATTTTAAGTGAAAGAGCTGATATTAGTTGTATGTAACTCCTGTCAACTGCATGAATTACTTTTGGAATTCTTTGCTTATCAATACAAATGCATTAAGTGAAAATCTGTGAAGTGTAATTAACATTGGTGTTCAACTCCACAAGCCTTGTATTTTGAGCTTTAGAGTCAACTGAAATACAAGACATAACATACTGGAAAAGAAGCAAAAATCAAACTCAGCCTCCCTAGTGCTGAACAATTTAACTGGGCACTTATCAAAAAGGATCTAGTATTACAAAAGAATCCTGTCCAAAAGTGGCATAAAATGCTATACATTGACTTGAAAAAATGAACAGAAAGAAAAAAATATAATCAGAGCAATAGAGTAATCTATTATATTGAATGTTATTCAGTATTTAAGCTAAATTAGTCTGACTGAAAAACAGCAGCTATCGTTCCATAGAGATCTAATACATTAAACGTTTAAACAAATATTTGAATTACTTCTTTGGGTATGGGGAGGTCTTGTATCTCTATCAAAAATTAGTAACTGCACTCACATTGTACTCTATATTTTATCTATCACTGATCACCTTCTGACCAGTTTCCAAACACCCAATATTGCTTCATTTTAAATATGCTATATGTTCTTACAAATAGTAAATACCACAACCACTTTACAAATCTTATAATGAGGAGAGCTAAAAGAAAGACACAGGGATCCTCTTGCTTCGAAATACTGCTCACAACTGTGTGAGCACAAAGTCTGGCTACACTGAGTTATAAAAAATTTATTGTCATTAAATGAAAGAATGTTATTCATTGATAAATTGTAACTTGCCTTGAAACGAAGCTTCTTTGAATTCAGACTTGAATTTAAACTTTTTACTTTTAGCCTTTTATCTGTTACCAACCATTAATACCCCACCAGATTTTAAAAAGGCTTATGAAAATTCATTGTGAAATTAAAAGAAATCAATATATTCCACTATTACAAATGTATTTTCCAGAAAATAAAGCTTCTTCAGTAATAAAACATTATGAATATGGATCTAAAGTAATCTAAAAGTAATCTTTTAATTTATAAAGTTCTGAAAAAATGCCATACAAAGTTACACCTAAAGAGAGTTAAATCAGACAATACTGAGAAGTAATAAAATTCCAGTTGCATAAAATGGTATTAGCATAAGCCTGTATTAAACTGGCTGTGACTCTAAGTTGAGAAAAAATACCATTTCTATTTTGATGATAACATACCAAATTTACAATGAAAATTTTGGAAGGTAACTGAAATGATTACATAACTATTTAGCATAACAAATCCTCCTGTTACAACTCATGAGGCTATATTTAAATAAATCCTGCAAAACATAAAGCAAATATGCATTTAAGAAATGGTTGGTGAAAAGGTCTTTGCATTTTTTAAGTTTCATTCCTTCCATCTCACACAGACTTTTGACAGTATCTAGAACCTGGCTAATAAATGAAATCTTTAGTTCCTGTTTGTACCTCACAAAGGCAACTTCTTGACAATGACAGCCTCTGAAACTGTGACCGCAGGAAGCTGCTCAAAGTCACCTACACAAAGAAAGCAGAGAGCAGGAGTGTTCAGAGCACACCAATTATCTTGCTCTCCTCACTATGCCAATGCAGACATGTGCTTTCAAGGCAGGATTCATCTTGTCCAACTTCAGCTCTCCTAAGTGTGAGTATCTATCTCCAGGCTTGCTGTCCCTGTGTCCACTGTGGATTACAGGTATCTGATCACAGTAGCAGAGTCAGGGCAGGTATTACCCTCAGTGAGGCACTCACACCTGGCCAGGCCAATAACCTCCACAGCACATTCACTAGGTGAGTACTGCAGGAAAAAGGGGACAATTTTGCTGCAATGAATAAAGGTGTCCTCTCTGGATGCTGCAGCACTCAGACAGACATTGTTAATCCTCCATAATTGCAGCTCCTGGACATCCTGAGCCTGTGTCTCCCTGCCAGGGTAATTTCTGGTCAGACATGCACACTGCTGGAACAGAGCATTAACTAGGCTAACACCTTATTCTTATTGTCACAGTAAGGCTATGAATTATCTCTTGTATCCAAAATGAAACTGTAATACAGGGGACTTCAGGCTGTGTTTAATACATACTGCAGATACACTGACAACATGAGACAAATATGTGCTTTAAGTATATATGACTGTTCAAAGAGACCCAGGGTTATGGGCTCTCTCTGCCATCTGTTTCCTGCCAAAAAGCAACTGGTTCATATCCACCAGAGATTACATCCCCTACAGATTGACAGATGCTGATTTAAGTCCTCAAACTGATCCTTGACTTGAAAGCAGATGGAAGTTAGAAGTAGATTCAATCACTGGTATCCAAACACCTCCAGGATCCCACAGTACTCAGAGTCAGAATGCAAAATTTATTTTGTATATCATCCCTGCTTTAAATGAAGCAGCAAACTTTTACTTTCCAGATTAACTTTGAATCTTGAGTTCACTTGTCAAACAACAAATTCACAGATAAAACCAGGTTTGTTATAACAAAGCTGGGGGGTTTACTTTTTTTAATACAAGAAAAAAATAATTACAGAAGGGAAAAAAAAACCCCAACCCCCAATCTAGCAAGCTGGTATATATTAACCATTGAGAGATTTCACTGGTTGTCATTTAAGATCTCTGAATACAAATACAAATAGGAGAAATAGCTCAGTAACACCCTGCTATCCTAAATGCTACCTTTCACCATCAATCTCTTTTTCCTGGTTCACAGAATAATTCGAGTACGTCCTTAATTATATCCTATAGGGTTTCCTGGTTTCTACAGAATACAAATGAAATATCAAAGCATATTTAAGAAATCTTAGTTTCCATTTTAAAGTTAGAAACATTCACTAAATTGCTGCTTTGTTAAAGTGCAGCTGTTCAGGTATTTTGGAACTGCATTGCCTAGGCTATACAGAGAGTTCTCTGGACTGCTCATTCAACATCTTTGTTTCATCTCGTGTTTCAGAAATAACTGAAACCTTCACTTTTCAGATACAGCCTGACACATATTAGGTACAAAATATTATGATTTCTTAATGTAGTGGTAACTGATGAACAGCTGTGATAGTCTTATGACACCTAATGCTTCTTTAATATTTTGAAGATCACAAATAGTGTTCTGGAATAGGACGGTTATGCACCTGATCTCCAATTATCCTATCCAAAACCATAAGTTCTGAGACAGTATTACAGTAATGTTAGACAGGTAAATAATCTCACTGCTGAACAGACTCCTAATGACCACCATGTCATGTACTTCCATGAGGGACAATAAAATCTAGAAAACAGTAAAGCCAGGAAATAAAAAACTAAAGGCTATATTCTGATCCTGCACTTCAGTGCAAATCTCTGACAATAAACACTTCTGACTTGACTTGCTACAAAGGCCATGCATGTTAGTTAGCTAGTTATAAACTGCTACATAGAAAATTCTGTTATATGTAAAATTAATTCCATTTTAGAGTGATTTAAAACTAACAGAGCACAATCACTTTATGACTGTGAATGGACAATGCAGAAATGTGCCACCGACATGAGTGATCTAAATTAGTGTAGCAGCAAAATGTTGAAGGTCAAAGTTTGTACCTACCTCTTTTTGATACACTATCCCAGCTTCAAAAAGCTTAAGAAAGAGATATTGTGTCCATTTGTAGTACTCTGGTAAGCAAGTGGTTACCTCCTGTAGAAAAGAAATAAAAATTTCTGAAACTATTCTCAGTATTTTCCAACACTGTTTGAACTTGAACAATTAACCCAGGAGTGTATAATATATTCCACAGAGTAAACATTTATGCATGTATTCATGTACAAACCTATTTACTTGTATAATCCTTACAATGAATGACAGTCACAATGAGTGACAGTCACCAGAGAACATTGGCTTTGTGTGGGTTTAATGCAGAAGGAAAAATTTCCCTGTTAATGTGGGATATAAAACTCTGTAAGATTAAAGCTGATAGATATAAGAACAGAAGATGAATGGAAGTGATCACAGCAGCCTGATCAAGGAAACAGCAAAACTAGAAAAAAAAAAAGCAGACTTCTCTCAAAGAGCCTTCCTAGCCAGGCTGCCTTTCCCACTGTTGCTCAGCAATGGGTGGCAGGAGCAGAGGCTGTGGATGCTCAGAGGCAGCAGGGCGCTGGCTGATGTGAGGCAGGCAGAGCGAGGAGCTTCCAGCTGAAACTGCGGGTGCAGGAGGAGAGCGAGAGAGAGAGAGAGCAGCGCTGAGGAGCTGCTGGCACACGGCCCGTGCGGGCACACAGCCTGGAGTGCAGGGAAAGGCTTGGGAAGGGCAGCTCTCACAGGGCAGCTCACACTCAAAGCTCAAACAAGCAACTAACTGCTCCAAAAGGCAAGGCAGCTCAAGTTAGGAGGATGCTCTAGGTTAAAGTATGGAAAAAATGAGTCATAAAAGTCACAAATGAGGAGGATGGTTATGAAGGAAATAAAGACAGACAAAAATAAAAGACAACATAAGCAGGAGGAATGGGAGTTATGAGAACAGCAAGCTGCAATATAATGGATAGCTTTTTTAAAACTCAAAAACATTTGCTAAGTTTTTAGCGAACTCTGATAATTAAAAACCAAGCTGCTTACCAACTGCTTATGAAGCTCCATATTTTAAATGTTTGTTCTTAAAAAACTCTAACTTAAAATAAGCATTAATATGCAAAGACAACAAATGGATTCCATAATTCCAGACTCCCTGTTTTCTCAACACAAATATAGGTTTCACAGGTGCAATGGGAACCCACATACCTGCTTGAAGTGAAAGAGGCTTCTACATCAACTTCAAATTAATATGAACATCTCTTGATTTTAAAGTTACTGACAAAAAGTAAGCCACTGATACAATTTATTCCATTTGGAGTAGTTATCAAGCATCAGAAATAGCTCTAAATGTGAAATGTCTTTCACGTGGGCTTTCCCATCATCCTAGCTTCCCACTACACACAGCTCCTGCAATATCATCTGCTACTCAAATGACATCTGAAATGCTCTAGCAGAAAATTTTTATTCTTTTTCTACAACTTTATATTCTAGTTGCTTTGAACTTTATATGCCAGCGCTGAAACATAGCTTTTAACAATTAATATGACCTTTGAATAAATGTGCCTCAGAAGTGTGTATAAGAGGTTTTCAAGATCAAAAAGAGACATTTAATGGCAAGTTTTCAGCTCAGCATGTGAAGACCTAGTAATGAAAAACAGTTGCTTGATTAAAACCCTTTGCTCTGCACTGAAAAAAATCCCACTTGATAAAAATCTGATTTTCATCTCTTCAGCTAAGCACATTTAATAGTTTTTTCCCCCCCTGCTTCTTCACACAGTGATAACAGCTCTCATGCCAGTGTGATGCCACTACAGGCAACAGTTTCATCACTGAGTATCAGACACACAAAAGAAGAGACAAAATCCCTTCCAGTACATTATAAGATTACATGAGCAACAGGCAAATAGGTAGGATAACAAAAGTGAGCTGTGAAATAAAAATAGAAAAGTGAATGAAGATTGGTCCTTTTGGCCCTGAAAGGCAGATATGTGTCAACTGAAACCAAAAGATGACATTTCCCAATCTAAACAAGCATGTTACAAGCTTGAGCTACAAGATACAAGCTAATTGCTGCAAACAGAATCCCATGTACACCATCTCTCACAAGGAGTAAAGAGACACTTTGAAAGAAATGCAGCAGACTGTATCAATGAAAAAGAAATCTGCTGTGTGGTCACTGAGATGCCAAAAGATTAATCAAGTTTAGAATTTAACTATAACCATGAAGGTTTGAAGTAACATTTCAAGATAATGAAGAAAGAGAAATTATATCACTAACAAGTAAAATGAGGTGCTGAAGACAAGCCAGCAAACTCCTGTCAATCTTGAAATGTGTTTTGGTGGTTTTTTCCCTATCATTTAGCACAGTAAGATTTACTGTTATAAATAATTTTCTGTGTATTCCAGTTACTGACCTTGATTATATGAATGATGTCTGGTAAAAAGTTTCCATTAGGCTGCCGTCATGCTTAAATTAAGGTGAATGTTAACATTTCTATTTATATTCTGTAAGCACGACAAAGATCCACAGAACACTGGCAGAACTGTCTTAACTCAGAAATACACAAAAGAGTTTATAAAAGAGTTTGAAAAGTAGCATGCTGGAGCCATTCCAGCCTGCCAAAAACTGTACATTTCTGCTTCTCATTTGCGATGTGAACACTGGCATTACAGCACACATATAGAATCCTGTATCATAAAGCAGTACAGTGAATATATAGAACAGGATATTACCATATTCTCCACAAAAATAAAATACCTACTAAAAATCCAAACTTTTCTAAAAATATGTAAGATGCTGCTCAGCTGTCCACTGCATGTGCCCTTCAGTGCTCTGTGAGAGATGCAGTGACCACCCATCACCTCAGCATTTCAGTATTATGAAGTGCCAGGGAAAGCCTCTCCCTCTTTCCCCTATCCATTTTGCCTTTTACTTTTGTCAGCTTTAAACAGACAGTCACCAAAATGCATCTTTGTCTTTGGTTACTGCTACTCTTCCTTATTCCTACAGGAATGACACTCATGCATTAATAGAATTCATTACAAGAATTTAAATTAATCACCTATACAGGTGGTTTGCTTTTAAAAGAGCAGATACTGGCAATGCATAAGAAAGACCCTTATCCTCACCAAAAACTACCTTGCTTAATCCATTTATTGCAGCACAGTAATTTTTTCCAAACAAATACCACACCAGAGGGGTTGGTAACTTGTTTATTTTTGCAAAGAAATTCTCAGTTACAGACTAAATGGCAGTATTACAATCTGGATTTGATATCACTGCAACGTGGGAAGCAATGGGTCCATGTAACGGTCAAAAAGCCATTCACTATTATGAAATCTGATTTAAAGAGTACCTTTCAACTACCAATAAAAATAAGGGTAACCAATAGTAAAAAATCCTGCATTAAAAAAAAAAAAAACAACAAAAAAGAACTGCTAAATCTAGATGAAAGATTTTGGTGTTTAATAAAAGAAAAAGTAATTTTCAAATGCTTTGTCTTGAAATTCATTATTTGTTCTAAACCTGCAATTCTAATTCTAACAATTTTCTATTATGAGTCTTCTAACAATTTTCTTCTAACAATTTTCTATTATGAGTCTCTGACCTTATTATTAATTTTTGCTTGTATTTTTAAGAATAAGGTGACAACTTCAAGCTACTTCCATGGCTATATTTTAAAAAATAAAAGTAATATTTATAGGCTGCATGAAAAGATTTATTTTTTCCTAAGATCCACCAGGCTTTATGAATAACATATAACTAGACTGGAGATATGCAATTTCCTAGTTTATTAATAATAAATTTATTTTTAGCACAGTCTTACGCTGTCCTGAAGACAGGCATGTTGCACCTCTTTAAAGGCAGATAAGAAGAAAAAGTCAGGATGGATTTTTTTCAAAATCTATTTGGGAAGATAAAACAGTCTTTAATCAATTATCTGCCTATTTTGGTTTTCAAGGGCATGCACTACCTCATCTAGAAGTATAATGATTTGATTTTCAGAGGTTTGGAGCTACACCAACCTACATTTCTAAATTAATTTGAGTATTTGTATTTCAAAGGCCTTTAGTTTTATGCTTTATTAGCTACAAATAGAAATGTCATACAGTGCCTACATTTTGGAACACGAATGTATTTTCTGAAAAAAAAAAAGCAGTCTTGTACCAACAGTTTCTTTTTTAAAAAATTTAATTATAATTGGGTCAATGGTATGCGGATGAGAAGAAAATTTCATAGGTAATCTATGTACAGTTGGTTTTATGCCTGTTCAGGCAGTACACACAAACGACAACTTCAAAATTAAATAGATAATTATCTGCACAGAGAAAATCTACCAAAGATTTAATTTTTTTAATGTACAGAGCAGACGGGGAACATTAGTCTCATGCAAAAAATATGTCACTTGGAATGCAGAAATTGAAATTACTAAAAAACCTTCACAGAAAGAGCTACTTCCTGGGAGAAAGTTACAGATTGATAATAACTGGTGAACTGATGGCTGACTGGGAACATGCATTCGGTCTGATGACACTCCTGAACAAAATAAAGAAAAAGCATTATATGCTTTTCATCTCTTGTTGCTGATGATATGAATCATTGAAAATGATACTGTTTAATTCCCCTGAAAATAATGTTCAAAAGAAGTCACAGGCAGTTTGTTATGCTGTCTGGGGTGGTATTTTCAAAAAATCTGATCACCAGGAATGCTCAGATTATAGTTATCTTAAACCCAAAACATAATGTTGGGGATTTTAAAAATTTTCCATGTGTTTTTAATGACTCTTAAGAGACATTTCTTCCATGCTCAAACTTCAGCTTTTCATCCTTCCATCCGAGAAACATAAATGTTCAGAATAGAAATGTCATCTCACTTACTTACTTTAAAAAAAACTCTCCCCAGAATCACACCATTTTCAAAGTGATTTACAAATATAATACTTCTAACTTGAGGCACTTAAAATAATTCCATGTTTCAGGTAAAAAAATCAGATAATCATTTGTATTCAAAACTACTCTTAAGGCAAAGTACTTACAGAGTTATTTTACTCATTTAATTTCATTTTGAATTTGCTTAGATTTTCTGTTTAGGAGAGCAATTTTAAAGTGTCATTGTAACCTGACTGAAATAATCTAATCTAATTAAGCTAGCTTTTAATAAATGTCTTATTTATGATATCATACTGCATAAGTAAGTTCATTGACAGCTATGAAACAGAAGTACCTGCACATTTTGATTTGTAATACAGAGAGAACAATGAAAAAAAAACCATTTAAAAATAAAAGGAGACTTCTATCATTGCAAGTGCACAGGGATTTGTTCATACTAATGTTATCAAGCAATGAGATTTAACTAATCTTTGTGTTCCTGGACATAAATTTCTTGACAAGCAGATGTGACTATAAGCAGGAAGACTCTTTAGGACAGCTATATGCACTAGGTTCTCAAAATGGATTTTGTTTTTCTTTTTTCCATTTCTCTTTTCCCATACCATATGTAAAAGGTAAAATTTATGTAAGTTTCCTTCCCCTCATTTAAGCATATACTCTAAGCTGGCCACAGAGGACAGAGACAGTTAACACAAATTCACATTTTAAAAAAGCAATTCACCACACATCAAAATATGGATCTAAGTTAGGGGAATGGGTTCCCTCCAGCATTATTTGGTAAGTACTATGCAATAGCATAATAAAGGGGAAGATTTAAGCAACATCAAGGAAATTAAATTTAAAACAGGCCCCTGCTTTGTGTAATAGTCTTGGTTAATTAGATCTACCCATATAAAATCTGTATTTCTTGGACTGTTCATAGGAGTCACTAATACTAGTGGGTTTTTTGCAATGTCACAGTATTTTGTGAGCCATTGATTTAGAGCCATACAAGTATAGAATACTATTAAAAAATACTCCTTACCTCAAATAGCTCACTTTTAAGATAAGTGTGCAAAGATGCTTGAGTTAGCCCAGGAGCAGTACAGCTGAGGCAGGAAGATGCTCTGCCCAGCCTAATGAGCCCTGCAGAGAAGCAGGCTTTATCAGCCTGTAAAACACCCTGTTACAGTTTAGCCCTTCCATTTCCACAGGTGCTTCTTTCATGGCCAGCTCAAATATCTGTGCATTTGGAGTCACATAATATTTTGGGCATCACGCATTTTTTGCAATTAATAAACATATCTGTTTCTGTGGCTACCATTCGGGTTACTCTTACTCCAATTAGTATGGCAGGCTTTCCAAGTAAAACAAAACTTAACTCATAAGCTAAGGAGTGAAAACCATAACATGTGCTGTCTTTCAAGGAACATTTTCCAGCTGTTTTAAAATCTTACTTTTCAAAAGCACCAACTATGTGTCCCTAGAGCATTCTAAAGCATTTCAGCTACACAGCAGTTCAAAAGGAGTTAGTAATAGGGTATCAAAGCCTTTTCCACAAGTATTGAGAGACTCCTGAAAGTTCATTAACTAAAATACAGTTTACTAGTAAAGTGAAAGTAACTCTTGAAGAATAGGCACAGAGATGACAAATCATTTTTCTCTGGGTACTTATACTTCTTGCCATGGTTTTCAATAGTGCCACTTTTCCATCTGTTTTTCAGGACAGAAGGGCCAAACAGAAGCTTATACATGAGACATTAATTTTCTCAATTTTCTTGAAATGCAACCTGCACCACTGAACTCGTGTGTGTGTGGGTGCACGTGTGTGCTCCATAACACAGCCTCCACACAGGATTCCACTGCTTTCAATACTGCTGCACCACACATACACAGACAACCTCTGAGATATCAACAGATTTAAACATTAGATGTCAAGAATGCCTACAGTGAAGCTTCCACAACAAATCTTTTATTTTCAGAGCAACTTTTTTGGCTACCAAGAAAATTTAAATCTTATTCAAAAGGCTTATTACTGAAAAAAGCCTTCCATATATGAGACATGACAAAATGTTTTTTTGGATGCAAGACATACAAATAAACAACTTCACCTTCGTGATTAAAGAAAACAGATGGCATGTCTCAGACTGTCAGAAAACTAATGCTTTTCCTTTTCAGATCTACAATACTGCTATAAAAATCCAAGATTAGCATCTCCATCACTCTATTCAAAATCACATTAAGGTGATGAGCAGCAGCTACTGCTGAGAATATAAAGGCAGTGTGACTGATTCACTGGTAAATGCAATAACCTCACAATCGCTTCAAACACTAATTTCTTTTTTATCTAGAAAAATGGCATTAGCTTATGTCTGACCGTGTTGGTAAGTTTTTTAAGGTGAACACCTGATTCTCAAGCATTAGTGTTTTAAATAAAATTTCTGGTTTCTGAAATGATCCTGATATGAACATTTATGAAAATGCAGGCTTATACTTGGAAATTTGGAATAACATAACGCAGCCACCACTCCAATTTACTATCTTTAAACATTTGACATATGCATTGAAAACAGCACTCCTCAAAAAACACATACCTTAGCACAAAGGCATTGCTGTTCCATAAATATCTGTTTATTACCTTATTTCTAACACAGAAAGTTGATACTTCAAAGAGATAAAAAGCAAATACAAAATCAAAATTACTTTAAAGATTCTCCTACGCATTGATACTATCAGATGATATCAGCATGTCAAAAGTTAGCCAAATCTGATAAAAAGCTCAATTTTACAGTTTAACAACTTAAAGTGGTTACTGCCAAAGACAGCTGTATTGTCATAAATAAAATGGTGAAATTCCATGGGTCTCAATGCTCCATCATACAATAAAATAAAGCAGTATCCCTTTTAAAAAGAAAATCTTACCCTTTCCCATGTAAAAGACAGACCTAGTGCATCAAACTGTTTCCTCATGTGTTGAATGTTACTGCAAAATAATGATAATAAATGAAAAATTATTAGCTTAAGACATTTCTAACATGTGATCATATAAAAAATCTGGTGCTTATAGAGTTCTGAGAAATCCAAAGCACTAGTTAACCTCTAAACACTATGATCTCACTAGCAGTAAAACTCAGAATTGTCAGAATACTCAAATAATAATTTTTAAAAGCCCCCAGTATATTCTGGTCCAGTTCCCATGGCTATGTATATGAGGCAATACATTTTTTTTTCCCCTAGATTTGAATGCAACTTAAAAGTAAATATGGCAGTGTAGTTGAAGGAAGCATTACCCAAGCACCACCTCTTACTATTTTTAATTATCTTTACTGCAGTTGAGTCAAAGGGCCCTCTTAAATCTCAATGCAGTAGGGGACACTTCCACTTTGAGCTTAATCCTGCTGTATTCTGGCAATGCTATCCTGGCTGGTATTTTGCTGTGGCTCTGGTAATTGTGTGGCTGTAGAATAACCTGAATCAACCTACCCATTCAGCTGAAGATATGCCCTACAAAAATTCTCCAAAAAAAACCCACGAGATTTCTCTCCTCCCTCTGATCAACAGGCTGATCAAACCAAAACTATGGCCCACAAAACCAGCTGAGCCAGTGCAAAGGAGGTGGTGAGAGCTTGTATCCTGGGAGGTACAAAGAATTACAAAACTTCTGGTGGCAGCATCACCATAGATAAACATTAATCAACTCATACACTGTTAGGTTAGATGCTGCTCTGAACAGATTAAATTACAAATGTAAAGTAAGATACATCAGGATATACAGTGAAGCTTTAGTTTGAAAATGTACTAAATATGCTTTACTAAAATACCCACAATTACATAATATTAATTAGTGACCTGGTGAGAATTCATTCAAATACTGCAAAATGAATTAAAATTTCTTAGGGACTTTGACCTTTCTACTGAAAGACATTCTGATAAAGCAATATCTATCCTTCCAGAGCGGCTGAGTTGACAGTCATGAAACAAAACATTTAATTCTGATCCAGAAAAAACTTGCAGTGCTCAATAACTGAGTACTGCAAGTATTTAGTATTATAATATCTTTGTCGGAAAAGTATCAAGAATCTTAAGATGGGACTAGAAGCATGAACAAAACCCAAAGAAACAGCATTCTCAAAGAAGGAAATGGATCAAGGCCTATAAAGATACCACAGGCAGATTACTTCTTCCAGAGTACAACAAACAACTTCACTTAGGGAGATTGGTTTCCAAGTAATTTTCAGAAACTGTTTACTTATATATCATTTTACTCATTTTAACGAATATCAGGAGAACATAGGACCCCATTCTGTGGTCTAAACCAAAAATATTCACAGAAATCAGCAGCAATAATGGCTGCTTAGCACTTTCCAAAATCCAGTCTCAAAAAATCCCAACTACCTCCTTCCTCTCTCCCATGGTACCAAAATCTGCTAGTAAATCTAACCACATAACTCGTAATTTTCCACTGTGTACTCTATACTAAGGTTTACCTCACCATGATGAAATTTTGATTTATTTATACCTGCTGGTTTGGGTGTTTGGGAAATGCTTCTCTTTTGATATTCTAGCATTTTACAATTTAAAAGTCATTGAGATTAAAACCTTGAAAATCATCCCAGTATATTTATCTTTCAAAGCAGAGTCATCTGCACAGTCCCATAAAATGTTTTCACATAACCTTGGTCTCAGACAACCCTGTTCTTTCCCGTACCATCTTTCTTCGGTGCTAGTTTTGCTCTGTTTTATTGATTCATGGGGGCCACAGTACAGGTATTCGCAGTGAAAATGCCATATTTCAATTCATTTCACCTTTGTGTCCAGCTTGCAGGGTGAAGTCCATGTTCAATTGCAGCATTTTCTGCTGGTAAACCAAATGCATCCCATCCCATTGGATTTATCACCTGTCAGTAAAAGGAAAAACCACAATGTTATGCAACTTTCTGGAATGGCATCAGCAACACACTGAGAGGCCTCTGAATAATGAATGGTGTTGGCATTCCAGCATTCAGTCTGAGCTGAACTTCTTCCAAACTTGCCAACTGTGGCCAGTTTTGCTTTAAAAGATGACTATGAAGTGCACTTGTTACCTACAATGAGATGTTAGAGGGAGTTTAAAGTATTATGCAATAAACTCTCATGACTATTTCAATTTCAGGTTTACAATGACAAAACCCAACTCTTTGGTAAGTTTGTGTGGTGGTCAAAGTCAGCAGTTGATGCTGCCACTGGACAGAACTAAATATCCATTCTAAAACAGAAGATGTTAAGTAAAAATAGTTGAAACAACAGTTTTCTAACTGTGACTGATGTGTAGTCTTATATTTTATTTTGTGTTGAAAAACAAAATAAAAGAAAAATACCCTATGATAACTTTAAATTCACCAGATAAAATTGTGAAGATGAGGAAAACCTGTTTCAGTCAAATTTTACTGAACTATCTCTTGCAAATATAGACTGCAGACTGACAAATTACTTTTCCTGACCACAAATAAATAACGGTGGGAAAAAAGCTTACTACAAAACATAATAGATAATTTCTGTTGAAATAGAGATGTATTCTTCAGTTAACATGCATGTTATTTAGAAAAATAATCTAGCAATACAATAAGTATTCAGAAAACCTCTTTAATAATCAACAAAAGAAAGGCCAGTATTTAAGATGCTGTCATTAAACACATATATATTGGATACCTCATAAAGCCAATTCTATTTCTTAACCTACAAATGTGCTATAAATTCAATAATCATTATTAAAATTATACAAGTTTAACAATAGCAAAACATGACTAACATTTTACAAGTTGTAAGAAATCAAAAATTTTACCCCTTAAAATATCTATTTATATAAAGAACATGTTTCTTAGTGGCATGTAAGCAAACAAACCATAAAAGAGCAATCCCAGCCATACTAATCTCATAATACATCTCCATGTGAAAAATCACCTCATTTTAGAAGCATAAGAGCTACTTTTGTCACTGCTTTGAATTATTTTTATTCTTCTTTGCCACCACTTTCCAATCTTCTGACTTAATGTAATATTTCACAACAAATATTTTATAGACGTCTTTATAAAGATGCCCTAGGCACCAACACAGTGTAAAAGCAACAGGATTTAATAGATGTGACTCTTCAGCATTCTCATTTTCAGTACTGATCTAAAACTAAACCTGCTGTCTATCATTACTCTACTGGTGCAACAACAAAACCAAAGGTATTAACCTGTGATTATCTGTGATCCAAGCCAGCCCAATAAGGGCCCATGCACAGCACATTTTTGGTGTCTAAATCTAACAGAAATTGGAATGCCATTCCGTGTTAAAAACTCTCCCTAACTATCAGACAAACTATTGCTCCTCACACCATGGTATCAGAAATGATGAGTCTTAACTGCCTATTTCCTCTCATATAAACAGGGGAGTTTACATGGAAAATGTCAGCTGGAGCCTAAACCACTTCTCAACACCCCACTGAAACACATCTCTGCCCAGCCCCTCCCCTCCCTGACCATCCACCCACCAATCAAAACTATTGGTATGAAAGAAAAAAAATAAAAAAAAGAGAGTTATGCTTTATATAAGCTATAAATACCAACAGAATTTTTATGGACATCTTAAAATATTAATTTATGTAGCTCAGTTCTTTTTGATCGCTAGTATTGCTGACAACCGACCTCTGGACAGATATGATGGAAAAACCAGATTTTTTTTTCCATGTACAATACATGTTTTCTTTATTTAAATGCCCTAGACTAATGTCCTGCCTTTACATTCTTACAAATACAAATTGATGCATATTAAGTGAGATTAGAAAGAATCATTCTTGGTTAATTTTTGTAAAATCTGGCTTCTGATGATCTCCTGGATACAGACAGGCAGCCAAACGCAAGACACAATCTCATTTCTCATGGCCCTGAGCAAAAAGATGTGGGAAAAACAACTTCACTACCAGCGACAGACTCCCCAAAAGGGCTGATGGGTGCTGCAGACAGTTCATGTGCAGACATTTTAACCCTGTACCATCAGTGCTGGAAGGAGCAACCTGCGCTCACAGATCTTCCAAATCCTAGCATTTATCAAAAAATGCCATATCCACTCTTCACATTCAAAAGTTCAATTTAACGACCAATAGCATTCCTCAAGCTAAAGGTCTGAAGAAGTATGCTAATTCAAGTTTCAATCAGAAAACTGAATTTAAAGAGACATTAAAAATATCCTCAAATTAGCCTCCAGGATAGATCTATTTATGTAGTTGCTATAGAGATGAATGTAACATTCACAGGGGTTTAGAAAATGATTTCAAGTTTATTGTCTCTTTTAATTCTCTACCATGAATGGATTTGAATGATTTATGAAATGCATTTGTCTAAACAACAGGTCAGCTCTTCTGGCTGTAATCTGCAGCAAAAATGCCACACTCTCCACCCAGCATTTGACATTACATCTTAACTCTAGTTATTCAACATAAAAATCTGAAAAGAAATGGAAGAGGAGAAGAAAATATGCAACTAACATGTCAGAAGTTAGCACAAGGGAAAAAGGAACAGTTCGACTGTTCAAAACAAATTAAAAATAAAAAAAAAATATAAAGCAGTTTTGAATACCAAAGGGTTACTCCTTGTAGCTCTTTGATGGGTTGGTCACTGGTCTAACTAGCAGAAAACATGGCTGCTCTCTCTAGCAGCACAGATGAGTAGAAGAAAAACAAGTCATCCACTTTCTTGAATGCTGACTTGATTGCTTTCAACAGCAACCTCTAAACTTTATGCAACTGAGGGATCCATTCTGCTCACTGCAGTGACCATTCTTCCAAACATCACTTCTCTAAGCCTCAAAGAGAAAGAAAAACAAATGACTGTATTTTGTTAAACAGGAGGCTGCATAAGTCTAAGGGTGCCTACACCAGGTAAAACAAGGCAGGCTGTAGTTCCAGCCATTTTACAATGGCAGAAGACAGCGCCATCACCAAAGGCAGCTGTGTGTTCATCCTCACAATGAAGTGGGCAGGTGAACTCCTCGTGCTGGAAACTCCCAGGTTAGTGTTGAACACACATGGCATAACTTCAGATCCTCAGAAGCTCACATACCATGCAGGATCAGCTATGAAACACTGGCATTTTCTACCATTTAACATGGTTTGCACAGGAGTATAAAAGGTTACAAGGAAGTGATTAAACAGCATGGAGGGAACAAAGTGCTCAGTAACTACGACACTGAATCGTCTTTTTAGGAACAAATTATTAAAAATAAAAACAGCTGCATCTTGAAACATTTTAGATCCCAAAGACTCTGGCTTGAAGCATTTTTAAGAATCATTTCCCAGCATGGTCAAACATCTGTTGTTAGCGATGGCTAGAGATCTTCACATTACTGTAGGACCAAGGGGAGGAAGACACAAACTCCCTTGATTCAATGCTGAGACCTCAGCTCTTCCTCTCTGAGTATTCTCATCTGTTCACTGCTGTAACAATCAGCTCATCACACTGACATCAGTAGGTGAGATCAGTGTACTGTATAACACAGAGCTGACAATGATCTCATAACACTCAGCTCTAAGCCTCCATCAGCATAACCAGGGCTGGTGATTCAGTGAATTTTCCTCGGTCTTTGTAAGGACACAAAGAACATGTCTGCTCTCCTGATGTACTCAGTATATCTCAGAACTATGACCAGGGAGCTGACATACTGTTCTTACACTCAGATCAGCGCATTCTAAATTTTAAGAAAGATGGTAGACTCAGTGTCAGAAAGGCCTGTAGATAAATATATTTAATTCAGAGAATGTGTAATAAAAGAAGATGACCAGAAATGAAAATTAAGCGGCTTGCTGACAAATTAGTGGTCTGAATTGATACAGCAAAGTCTATGTTTCTATCTCTGTTTGCAGCCCCACGACACACTCGACATGAACTGACCAAAACCAGCTGGCAAAACAGGCAATCCATGATTGCAAGTTCCAGCTGTCAGAAAACACCCCAGGCTCCATCATGGATCTTGCAATTGTGCAATCACAGACATGAGACAGCGAGGACTTGGAGGTGGAGAGGGCAATGGAAAGGATGGCTGCTCCTTCCATTGGCTGCCCACAGTGGGCTGAACTTGTTGAAAATCTGGTGTAAACTGGCGTATTACAGCACACTTCAAATACAAGACCCCCCTTGTGTGAGGTCCTGGATTCTCTTTTAACCACTACAGGTAATAGACATCATTGCACAACAGGTAAAAATTATCACAAATAAACAAACAAACAGACAGACAGACAACTCCCCCAAGCAGACAAGGCACACCTGAAAAAAGATAAAAATAAGGAATTTTTGACCAGTGTAGATTCTAAAAAGGACTATTTCAATGCTTCTCTGCAACATAGTGCTGCACATTAGAGAAGGTACTCTCTAATAATCAAACCATACAGATTTCTATCAAAACATAAAATGCCCATTTATTTTTATTCTCATAGAATATAAGATATGAGAAATTACTCAACATCCACAAAATACCACACAGATTTTGAGAACAAAGTTATCTTTTGCCTTCTTAATCTCACACATTCTTGTCTAACATAATTATATTTAAAATTATATCTCATTTTCTCTTTTTCTTTCAAAATGAAACAGAGTGAGCTCATTAACACCTTCAGTACAGGTTGTGGGAAAACTGAAATTAAATAAGATTCAATTCACACACAATACTTGTAATATTTGCTACTTAATTTATACCACGTGAAATAACCTGACAAAAGGATACAAAAGCCTCACAAAAAAAACCTGGAGAATAGCAGCTAGAGATGAATAAAAAACGGATCTGTATCGAAATAATTCATCCTACTGATGATTAATTATAGAGTTTTAATTAAACTTGCCTGTCTGGCTTCAATACCATTCACTTTTGCAATTTCAAGAGCATTAAGATTCACTGCTGAAAGGGAAAATAATTAATGAAAATACATCCAATTAAAAAGTAGATATGTTATAGATAAAAAGAAAACGCTCTTCAAGTCATTTAGGAGCATTGCAGAAATATCACTGACTATATTTTAATCCCATCCATCCCAGTTTAAGTATAAATTAAGAAATAATGAGTATAGTGGGATTCTAGCAAGCAGGAATTTACCCCTGATTTGATTACAGAAAGGACTATTCTCAGTTCTGTACAACTCTCACATGCCTGGCTTTGGTACCAGTTTCATGACAAAGATATCACAAGAACTATTGAACTGAATCACTCTGTTTACTGATCACTAAGGGAATTATTCTCAGTCTTCTGAGAGGCACAAATTATCCACTTTGGAATTTATCAAAGACATGCTAACGATAGCATGATAAAGTAATGGTAAATACTTTTTCTCAGAGCAATAGCACACTGGAAATCTGCCATAGTGAAAATCACCATGAATATCTCTATCATTTCTACACAGCAATCTCAAATAATGAATAGGAAATCATTTCTTGCAAAACTCCTACATTTGCATTCACGACATGCATGTAAATTCACAGAGTAAACACAACCAGAAACTACACATAATAGTTCTGGACTGATTTATTAACAACTATAAATTTGTAATTTAAAATATATACATTACTTTTTCATAGAATTTTATAATAAACATGTTTTTAATAAGATGTAGAAATCTCCATATATAAAAACTGTTTTAATTGCACTTCAAGAAACGTGTCACCCTTAACACCCTCTGGAAAGAGCAGCTCAGTGCAGCCATGCTAAGCAATCTATATGGCTTACATTTCCCAGGCAGAGACTTCAAACTTCATCTTCAGTAATCAAAATGTAAACAAGTTACCTTCTAACACATGTACTCTACAAATCATTTATCCAGCAACCCAATCCAAGTGCATGACAGCTTGCTTCCCATGCTCTGCCTACAGGTCCTTGAGGAGTGACTGCTGGAACAAGACAATGCTTTACAATGCTTTCATCTACAGTTTTATATTGAAACAGTATTTCTTTCAGAAACAAGGTGGGGAAAAGAGCAATAGATATTTATTTTCACACTTAAAGCAGTACAGGTTTCTGGGAAATATCTGTAGAGTTCAGTGTGCGTTACCTCTCTACAATATTTTAACTGAAACAAAATCAGAACTTATAGAGCGGAAAAAAAATTGAACACTAATGTTACATTTTAGAAAAATCAAAACCACAACAGAATCCAAATGATTAAAAACTTTCCTTTTAAAATTTCAAAATACTTCCAATATGAAGAAATTACACAACTGCATTCAAAATAATCCCTTTGTAAATGTATTCTAGCCTATCCTCACTAAAATATTACAAAATACAGGCCAATTCTTGCCTGCTCAGATTAAATCAAGATGTAACTAATTTACTGTTTTCTCAGTAAGGCATTCTTTATAAAAAATACCTCCACCTTGTTCAATATAAATTAATCTCTTACTCAATCATATATTCTTGTCAACTACATACACATGATAGACGTTTCCCCTCACTGTTTATTAAATAACAAATATACATTGTAGTCTGAAGCTTTCCCTGGGAACTGTAAATCTGAATGGTTTTGTCTGTAACTTTCATTGTAACAGCCCATCATTTCTCATTGCCTTACACTTTTAATTTGAAAATGATGGATGCAAAGTTTAAACAACATTGTTGCTCAAAAATCTTACCCTAACCTTGCATTGAATGCCTGAAATTGATTCACTTCTCAGATTTTTAATTAGAGAAAAATTAGCAGTCCCTAGGCTTTCAAACATAGAATATTACAGCAGAATTTTGAGAAAGAAATAGAAGATCAATAGAATAACTTCAAAATTATGCATACTAACAGTTCTGTTTCCAAAGCATTCTTTCTTTATATATACTGAAGAATTCCAGTAATTCCTTGAATACAGAGACAAATTAATTTTTCTAGGGAATATATAAAGTTTTATGATATAACCACGTCTTAGCTTACAATCATCACAGTATCTTAAACATCATAATAACCTTTGACAGATTGTACAACCATGAAAAAGGCAGAGAGAAGCTTTAGAGGTTGATAAATTAATTGCAAAGAGAAAATCAATTATACAGACTCCAATTCTAAGTGATGGAGAAATTAGCATGGGCAATAAAGGAAAAGTTCTTTAAAGTAAATGTAAGTTCCAGCAAGTTAATGCACATCAATAACACAATGCCTATTAATCTGACATACCCAGAAAATCATCTGAGAGATTTTTAATGTCTCTTAATTGTAAATGAAAGTTAAATTCTTTGGCTTCCCACCTTTAGTCAAAAATAGATGTTCAAACTGGTTAACATAACAGAAGATATAAGTATTTTTAGAAATCCAGCATGTTCTACAGGCACTTCTTCAAAGTAATTTTTACATGAAATATAAAAATGTGCTGAAATGCAAGATCTAAAAACTTCAAAAGTCTGGAAAAAATTTTCCATAAAAAATATAGGCAAACGTGGAAATAAAACTTGTTTGCATAGCGGCTCTTGCATTTCACTGGAATTATATTATCTTTTTACTTTTCTCCAAATGTTTCCATTAAAGTGCCTACTTACCTTGTATTCAAAAATTTACAACTAGAGCATGCTACTGGATGCAGATAATTATTTTCACTTTATTTTCACAAGTACAAGAAGCAGCAAGTTTTCATCTTTCTGAACAGCAATTTACTGGCTACCTTCCCTGCTATTGATAAGAGAGGGCTACATCCTGAAATGACATTTCATGAATGGTCTTAACATCAAGCAAAAATCAAGCATACCTTCAAATGCCCTGTTAGCTGCATTTTTTTAGTGAGATCTAAGTTCTGGTCATTCAGAGGAGTCAGGAAAGGTAAGTGTTATAACAGACATTGGGGTTTCTTCTCATTTAAAGTCTAAGGCATTTATTTCTTTTTCCTGCAATTTTGGAAGCCTAAGAATGCATATCTGTAGAGCAGCAGCAAGTATTCAGTGCATGGTATGCTCATCACTGGCAAAAAACACATAGTATGTGGAAAGGCAGCACACTGAATAATGCAGTGACAATACCTATCAGAGTCTCAGGGATGGTGATAAATGCAGGAAATGCTACACTTCTTCAGCACTTGTAGCAAGGAAATTGCACTTAGTACCACGACCAGCAACTAACATTCTTCCTCAATTTCATCTTCTTTGTACTCTTTTGAGGTTGATACCCGTATTCTTGAGCTGCTCCTTCACTCTTGTACAATAGAGAGACTGCTTCCTGTCATCCTAGATCCTTGCCTATACTATTTTCCTCTTTTTGTTTCCTTCTCTTTCCATATTCCTCCTTCCTACTGTTTTCCCAGCTTCTTCACATTTTCCCTCTACCAAATGTCTTTCCTCTGTAATATGGCTGTCACTCAGGCCACAGTTCTACACCTTCCTTACATCCTTCAAATTTTACCTTGCCAGCCTTTACTGCGGAATGCCAGCCAAGATTCCACTGCAGATTGCAGGGACAAGGCTCTCAGCTACCCCTTCAACCTAATGGAGAGACAGAAGGCAGTGAGGAGAAATTATGAGGCAGGCGTGGGGGAGACGGAAACAGAGAAATGTGGAAGGGAAAATGGGATTTCTCCTTGCAGATGTAGAAGAAAGTTAAGACTTAGCCTACCTCGTAGGCCTGCACCTTCAGAGGATATTTCATTTTTATGAGGAAGGCTGAAATGGGCAAGCCAAGGGGTCAGATGCTACAGGACAGAAACTTTCAGCTACACACACATGATGTAACATATGGCATGATCCTGTTCATCCGACTTGCAGCAGTCACAAAAAAAAAAGAGGTTTCTCTCCCAGCAGGCACAGAGGCATCTGCATCTGACAAGTACTGGTTCTCAGGAGCAGCAGAGGTGAAAGCAGTTGGTTTTCGTGGTATCTATTTTCTCTTGCCAGGTACATCTTTTCCTCCCCCCTGGTCCCACCCAGCTGACAGGAGGGTTGTCAGCCTCCTCTCACAGAAACTGTGTGGCCCAGAGGTCTCAGTGACACTGTGCCACACATCAGTAGATTCAGGCACCTTATACAGCACCAGCTGTTATCATCTTCCAACCACTCCTACCTACAGTGAGCTCTGAACACCACTGGCTTTAATAAAACTCTCATATTTCAGTATTCAAAGCTTCACAGGTCATTATCTACACACCTGTAGCACATACTCCACTTTCATGGATTTTGGTAAATACTAATTTCCTGATCAATTGTGATATTAAAATATAAAAAGACCCCACCAAGTCCTACCACTGATCTATTCTTACCTGCATCCCTCTCATTTTCTGGAACCGAGCTACTGCATCACTGATGGTGTAGACACGAACATGGCCCATGTGAAGCTTCCCAGAAGGATATGGGAACATAGAAAGCACATAAAATTTTGGTCTTGATTTCTAGAAAGAAATGTTTAGAAACTAGTAACTACATGAGTTAGCATTTCACTTGAACAAATACACATGCATGTTATAAACTACTACACGACACCATAAATCGAAACACAGCTCTGCTGGAACTGATCCAAGTGAGCACTGACAAAGTTCATTGGATCAAATTCTTTGGGGCTGTGAATGGAGATGTTTGACCAGACTTTGCTGCCATCTCATGAATTTATACTGATGCTTCTATGGCACTTAAATGTTATGAAAATTAATTCACTTTTACTCAGAAAGCGCTATATTGACAGAACTGGAGGTTAACTATAGCATCTGCAACTGATTATCTATGTGTTCTTAGTCTGCCCCAACAAAAACATGAAAACATAGCAATTAAATTACACTCATAACAGTTTAAATAATTAATGTTTTATTTTGTATCTACAACAAACACAGAGCTCACTCCTGGCCAGTTGCTTTTTGTCATCTGAACTGCAGTAACTCCCAGAGTGACTGCATCATTTGCAATTGCATGAACATCTGCTAAAGGGAAACTGTTCAGTTTCACTACGTATCCTCAGATCCGAACACATCTTACAAGCAAGATTTTGCATAATGAAAAGAAATGAATACTTTCATTTACTTAGGTTTAATTAAAATGACAAAAGTTACAAAGAAATCACAAATCCTCTTGCACATCAACTATTCCTATTACATCTTGATTACCACTGAATTCATCCCTGATACATTGATAGTATCAAGAGCCACTGATACTTGCTAAATTCTTATATTATTTTTCTTGTTAATAATAAAAAAATTACAGGCAGCTTTCAGCTTTTACTGTTCTGAATAAAACTCTATTAGTATTTGTCAAATAATATCTCTTTATCACTTTTGTTCAATCACAGCAAAATCAAAAATAATCTGAGCACTACACACTATTTGCCTCTTAATATGTTATAAAATCTACCTCAACTGTAAGGATAAAACAAAAATATCATTAAAAATACAATTTAGAACTTAGTATACATATGCTACATATGACTTCTATGTGCATATGTATATAAAAGGCAAAAATCTAAATGAATGCTTTCCCTGCTACAGGTATACACACACATCACTTCATCTCAGTTTTCTTTCCCAGAAAAAGCAAGCTCTTTTCTCTCTTCAACATTTTGATAGAATTTTTTTTTTTGTCAGAGAAAAGGCAAATTTTAAGACAGATGAACAAAAAAACAACAAGAGCCACAGAAGTGTACTTATCTATGGTGACAGAATAATTGTGAAGGCAAAAAGAGTCAGAGACTGCGATACAGCTGTTTTCAAGATCTTTTATTGCATGGGAAAACTTTTTTTTTCTTCAAGTCACTTACTATTCCTATGAGACTGTAAACCAGAAAATATCAAAAAATCTTTTTCCCTTTACACAGATTTTAGTGAGTCACAGGGTGTAGTGTGATAGATTTGTCATAACGTGGGGAACAGAACCTTGAGAAAATTGTTTACAAAAGTTATGATTAGATGTTTCTTTTAATACTTTAAATAATTAAGTGCCAAATATCATATAATATGCAAAGAAAGAATTGATTACTTAAACCCTTCCTAAATGTACAAGTTTATACTTTGCCTATTACTGTACTTTTCCTCAGGATTTAAAAATTTTTTTTTGTTTACTTATTTCATTAATGGTTTTTAATAATCTACATTAAAGTATTTTCCCCTGAAATGTAATGCACATCTAATCATTAAAAGCCATCTGTACTAAGTAAGTTTCAATTAATTTCATTCTAAGAAAACAAAAATATAAACACGTAATCTCCACATTTCTCATATTGCTTACATCAGTTTCTGAAATTCTGCAGAACTGTTCCTTTATTCTTGGGAACCACCAATTCTCAACTCGTTTCCTTGTCTCCAACCCATAGTTTTTTTCCCATTTGCCCGTCTCACTGTAAATGGTTCTCACACAAGCAGGAACCAGTCTTCTCTGCCATTTAATTAATCCCAGGAAGCCATTTAGTTGTCTCTTCAAACAGGAGGAACAAGGGCCAGCTCTTTGATAAACTGACTGCATTCTTAAGGTTATGGTATCTGAAAAGACAAAAATATCTATTTCATGCCACAATACATAACAAGAATTCAATGATTATTATGATTATACTGAAAAGCAGTAGCTATTAAATTATTTCAACTTGACTTAGTCTACTCAGCTGCTTTTCATGGAACTTGCATTTTATTTCCACATCTGAATTATAAAAGTATGTATTTTTTAGTCAAGAGAACTAACTGTGGCCTTGCACAGAACAAAACCATTGTGTTAGATGTCTTATCTAATAAAATAAAATTCTTGCATTCAGTCTCCCATAAAGGCATAATCAGTCAATTGAAGGTTCCAGAAGCTCCACTGCCTGAAGAGAAGATGGCTAACAGGGTGTTAGTAAAAATTCAGAATGAAACAGAGAGAAAAGGAAGTTGGATGAAATTATACTGTAAAAATACTGAATTTGTCATCACTGAAAAGAGATGGGGGAGGACTATAATTAGTAGATTTCAACCAGATATTCTAAACCAACTATTTTGCTAAGGCTTTCTTTTTCAACTAAAAATCTGGTTAACTCCTCAAATGCTTCAGAGAGAATTTTCTAAGCTACTCAGATGGGAAAAGATTGAACAGCTCCCATATCTGGGATCAGTCTCAACAAGATTTTTGCTGATTTTACTTCCTACAGTAGAAAATATGGCATTAAAAGAACCTCTACTCTGCGATTTCCTTTTCATCTTAACTGCCTTTTTTTTTTTTAATGGCATTTTTACATCAGTATTTTCTATTCTCTACGGTTGGTTTTGGTGCTTCGGTGTTGTTTTTCTCTTTTTAATTTTGCCCAATACACTTGTATCAAACTAGCTGTTTCAGTCAGTTCAGAATTTTCCTTGCAGAGTTACATCAGTAAAATCTCAGTGTAGAGAAACTCTGAATAAGAAAAGATTTTACTTATGCATTTCCTGTAAGGTAGAAACATTATCAGTAGAAATAATTGCTACAGCACCTAAATTAGATCCCCAGCAAGCTAGTGGGAGTTATGCTTCCTTTAACATTCACCATACATGCACACACAAACCCTCACTGCCTGTCTCATTACCTATGCAGAGAATTGCTCCTTTTCTCCCTTACTTATCAAGCAGGGTCTTATAAACACTCCTTCACTTATGTCACATCAGTGCTTTGGATTTCTTGTTGCTACCCTCCATAATCTCTCATTTGTAATAAAAACAGATCCAGGACTGTACTCAGGATTCCCAGTTCAGGCGCACATGAGTCATTCAGGAGACTCCAACTTCTCGCAGCCCATAACATCACACTCATCTCAAAATTAGCATCTCAGTACTTCAAAGTTTTTTGCTTACTTTTACTAATTATTTTCTTATTACTTATGTCTCGTTTCTATTGATTTATTTTACAACAGAAAGGAGTGCTTCCTTATACAAGCCAATTTCAGCACTGCTGGTTTACAAAGGAAGTATTTTAAACCCCAGGAGCTCCATATGAAAGGAGACTAGTGGATGAGAGGGGACAGTCTCAAGCTGCACATGGGGAGGTTTATGTTGGACGTTAGGAAGAATTTTTTCCCAGAAGGGGTGATTAGATATTGGAATGGGGTTGCCAAGGATGTGGTGGAGTCACCATCCCTGGAGGTGTTTAAGGAAAGACTGGACACGACAGTCAGTGCCAAGGTCTGGTTGAGCGGGTGATGTTTAGTCATGGCATGGACTCCATGATCTCAGAGGTCTTTTCCAACTTAACTGATTCTGTGATTCTGAGACAGAAAGAACACAGACCCCATGCTTGTGCACAGCTCAAGGGAAGCCCACCAGCCAATATCATGTCCTGAGAGGGCACATTTGGGTGACCTCTGACCCCTCAGGTCACCCGGGCAGGGGTCAGAGCAGTGTGTGGGAGTGAGAAAACAGCCACAGCCAAGGGCACACAGCACTACCACTATGCTCATCATGCTCTATTTAGATGGAATGACAGGATGAGAAAAAGAACTGCAGTGTCCTTGCTGCTGCTCCCAGGTACCATCATGCACAGGGTGCAATGGTCAGCCAGCCATGTGCTGGGGCAAGCCAGGATGCATGGCACAGAGGATAATCAAATCCAAATGACATGGCACTAAGCTGTTTTTCCTTTCCAGGCTTGTGTGCATGGAGCTAGGACAAGGAGAGTGCCTCTCCCTGCCCCACTTAAGGGCACTCCAGCCCAGTGCTGTGTGAGTCTTTCAAGGAGCAGGTTAGGAGCCTAGCACTGTCTTATTCAGGCAGGTGTGCCAAGCAAGGAGGAAGGGGCTGGTCTGACAGAGAAATAAACCACAGAATGTCCTGAGCTACAAGGGATGCACAAGGATCGCTGACTCCAGCTCCTGGGCCTGCACAGGCCCCTCCAAGAGTCACACCATGTGCTCAGGAGCACTGTCCAAGCCCTTCTTGAGCTCTGTCAGGCTTGGGGCCGTGACCACCTCCCTGGGGAGCCTGTTCAGCGCCCAACCACCCTCTGGGGGAAGGACCTTTTCCTAATACCCAATGTAAACCTCCCTGACACAGAAAACGTTTGGAAAGATGCAGTAAGCAGGCAGGAGACTGAATTAAAGTCCTGGAAACGGACTAACGAGGCCCAGCACATTTCACTCAGCCCCGCGGGAATGGGGGCGTGTCCCGCCGCTGGAGAAGCTCGCACGAGGAGCAGGCGGGACAGAGCGAGCGGGGGAGCGGTGACAGAGGGAGGCCGGAGGAGGGGGGAACTCCGTGGGCGCATGATCGCCGGGAGAGC